GGTGCCCTGCCAGCCTCTGCCCAGGGGCCACGGAGCCACACTGCTCTCTGCCGGGACAGTGGCAAGTGTGGTAAAGGTTTTTGGATGCTGGACAAGACCTCTCATTTCATGGTGGCACAGTGTCTGGCCACGGGTCTGCCCCCAGCCATCCGGTGCTCCTAGTGACTTCTGCGGGCGAAGGTGAGGAGACAGGAGGTCTGCTCCAGGGGCGGGGAGGGCGGGGGCCCGGGTGCGGATCCTCCCGATGCTGGGTTACTTCCAGACCCTGGCCCCTGCTGCAGTGCTTTTGTGCTGAATCATATTCCATATTTAGACATCATTTTTAAAAACTATTTATGAATTTATAAATGATTTTTATTTTTTTTCCCTCTCAGAACTGTGGGAGGGGAGAAAAAAGAAGTAACATTTATTGAGAACATTCTATGTACCAGGCACTGTAGGAAGTGCTTTAAATATCTTAGTTAATAGTATTTTATATATATTCTATAAATATGTACTTAGCGCAGAAATAAGTGTTAGCTCAGCCGTTTTAAATGCAGTGCTTTTGTGTTGGTGAATGTAAAGCCAAGGTACATTAATTCCCACGACATGCTGTTTTATCATTGTAGGGACATTTTAACCATATGGAGCATTGGTAGAAGGTGCAAGCTGAAAAAGGAAGATTCCAGTTGTGGTTTCGAACCCTCATGTGCCAGTGAATGTAAACCTCTCCTGGGTGGATGTGTGCCCACCTGTTCAAATAGCGCCTGGTACCCTCCCGTCAGGAAATCCCACCGTCCTCCTCCACTCCAGAGCCAGAAGAGCCTCCAAATGTTACTCCTCATGAAGCCTCCTTTCAAATGCATCTTGCTTGAGAAGATCAATTGCTTTATTTAAAAGTTAAAAAAATTCAGTATCAAACTTCCCGTGAGGTTTGAGAGCCCTGTAGCTTATGGAGCCATATCCAGATGTAGCCCCACTTTATACTTTTCTATTGTTTTGTGGATGTATCCAGAGCTGCTTATGTACTCTTTTTTAATTAAAAGTCTTATTTTTATATTGAAAATGCTCTATAATCTTAAACTGAATTTCAGTAAATGTTAGTATCCGGTCTGTTCTGTGTGATTCCCCAACTAAACTTATCAGGCACAGGACCACCTTGATGTTAAAATGGGAATTTCTCACCTTCTCTTGGGTTTTCAGTGTATGGCCTGACTGTGGAGACTGGCATTGTTCCCCTGGGTCTGCAGGCACCCTGAGATGCCCTTGTCACCTAGAGACGGGTGCCGGTGAAACCACTGGGTCGTAGGCTTGCTCTCAGGTCCTTTGCCCGGGCGAACGCAGCCCCGTGCTTGCCACGTTGCCCTGTGTTAGCTGTGTGGCCGTGTCCTCTGCCGGTGACGGGCTGCAGCATCTGTGTGCCGAAGAGCCCGACCCATAAACCACCGGTAGAGAGCCCATGTGTAGTCACGGAGGCACCTCATACTGGAAAGACGGGGCAGAAGAAGACATGGGGCAGAAAGGAGCTCAGTGCGACCGTCTGTGATATGGATTTACCCACAGTCACTGAACGCACTGCCAGGTTCAGGACAGAAAGCTGACTTTTCTGTCCCCAGCATCTTTGGAGTCACTAGACAGTTAACCCCGAGCAAGCTCGCAGAGCTGTGACTTCATGAAGAAACGCCAGTCGAGGCCGAGAGAAAGTATTGGGATTTGTGGCCTTAAAAATACATCTTTAAAGAGGTTTAATTTGCTTCTGTCTTTTCCAAATGAGATACACATCTTAATTTTTATGGAAAGTGTGAAAATTCTTAGACGGCAACATTTTGTTTTGTTCATAAGCTCTTCCTCTTCCCCCAGATTCACGGGGCGAGGAGGTGACCACGTATTCACAGCTGGGTGTTTTGGTCATTGAAGCAGCACAGCGGTCGCCCCGGCCGTTCACGTGGACTGGAAGCTTTCCTGGGGTGGAAGAGCCCCTGTGCAGCACGCTGCCTGGCGCAGGACGGACGCCCTTGGGTAGAGCCGGGCGGACGTGCGGTCAGGGCTCCCCTCCCCTCGCTGCCTCCAGCGTCTTGGCTGCAGCCCCTCTGTGAAAGGGTCTGGTGACCCACGGGCTGTCGTTAGTGTGAGACCCAGGAGTGAGACCGAGGCCTGGCCACTGCTCAGGGTCCGTCCCCTGCCCTGCCACACGGCCCCTCTGAGGCCAGAGCAGGCGACCTTCTCTGGAAAAGCTGTGTATGAGGAGTCCTCACAGTGTGAACGTGACAAGAGGGGTGAAGGGAAGCCGGCCAGCGTGCGGGAACCGGCAGTTTTATCCTGAATTCCTACAGTTCTTAAATGGTAAAGAGAAAACGCAGCATGGGAGAGCTTATGGGGGCCCCTGGGAGGTGTGGCCTCAGCATCCTCTGTCCCTGTAGAACAGGCCCGCGGTAGAGTGTGCTGGGTCTAGGCTTCCAGAACCAGCCCTGTGCCCCGCGGAGCCCACCAGCAGGCCCTCTTGCCCAGCAGAGACCCCTGGCGCTGCAGAGCCTGGCAACACGTCCTGCAGCCCACCTCGCCCACCTGGCCTTTGACTTCACCCCGGCTCCGGAATCGTCCCTTCTGTCCCACCCAACCCACCTCCTTTTGGGCCCTGCAGCCTGCAAAGGATGAGGGAGGTGACGTTTTGGTAAAACTTTCTTAATTGGCTTTTTTATGATTATAAAAATAATACTTGTCCATGTAGAAGAAAATAGAGAAAGGAAAACAAAACCCCTCACCCCGCATTGCCACCCTCGGCCTGCTGGCGGGCCGTCCTCCGGATGTGGACTTCTTTTTTATTTCTAACTGAGTGTTTTGTAGTGAACGTGCTCCCACATCATTGTAGGAAAACGTCGTTTTAAAAGGTGGCACGGTACCCCACCTGGGGACAAGCAGGCCGTTGTTTTGATGGCTCTGACACTAGCTGTGCCCTTTGGTGGGGAAGGGCTGGCTTTAAAGTCCGTAGGCAAGTTTGCAGGGAGCCTGTCTGTCTCTGCCGGGATGTAAGGGGATGTGACAGGCAGGAAGCAGGCCCGCCGCCCGGAGACCCCGCACAGGGACCACCTCTCCCTGCCACACCAATTTGTCCACACCACAGGTACGAAGACAGACTAGCGACACACAAAACCTGCACAGATTCCACAAAACGGGGTTTTGACACACCCATGACGAGCATGAAATGTGATTATCCCTTTAAGGTGCTTCGTCTTTCTCTTCTTGTCACAAGAGGAGGAACACTCCGAGGAAACAGGCCAGGCACTTGCGTATGTGTATTAAATATACATATACATGAATATCCATCCATTAAATTTTCCATTTCTTCTTGATCATGATCTGTCATTGTTTGCTTTTTGTGTAGGGACAAAAATATCAACACATACCTTTTATCATTTTACCAAATAAGTTTATAATGGTTTCTAAACCTTGGAACAAATTACAAAACTCTCAGAAAATTCAAAAGCATGGTAAATGGTTATCGAAGACTTATTAACATCACTTGAACTGTTTTGCCTGCTTTTAAAATATAGTTTATTTTCAAATTTGTTTTTAACGCATTTCAAAATGATACCTCAAATTCACACTTACTAAAGAAAAATTTTAATTGTAGATAAGTTGAAATGAAATATAAATATAAAAGTCAGGGAGCGGGCTTCCCTGGTGGCGCAGTGGTTGACCGTCCGCCTGCCGATGCAGAGGGCATGGGTTCGTGCCCCGGTCCGGGAAGATCCCACATGCCGCGGAGCGGCTGGG